GTTCATGAAGGTTTAAGACTGTTTGACCCCAAAACCCCAAAACCCCTTCTTTCAATGATTGTGGTAAGAAAGAATGAATTATTATTTTAGACTTATGAACTGCAAATATCAATAATACAAAAGTATTTAAAACTTTAATATCAATCACTCCTTGCTGTTCAATAATTGATTGGCAGCTTAGATTTATCGAGAGAGTCAAAGTAGGGATGTAATAAAGCCATTCTAGCTGATATTCTTTTATTTGGATCCAAAGCAACCATCCCTTATAGTAGATCAAGTGCGACTTCATCCATGAATTATGTATGTTCTGATAGAGGTATACCCTTCCATTTCGGAAAACTAGGCTTAAAATCTGGGAGTTTTAATGCATCAGGCCAATTATTTTCACTAGGTGTGCCGAGTACTTTAAAAATCTTGAATATCTAATCGATTTCACTATCACCCATGAACAAAGGTTTCTTTTATGCCATTTCTGCAAAAATACAGCCAGTCGACCATAAATCGACACCGAGCGAATATTATTTTTGTCCCAATAAAATCTCAGGGCAACGATACCAAAGAGTGACGACCTCATGAGTGTATGTTTTTATTGGTAATCCGAAAGCTCTTGCCAAGCCAAAATCCGCTAGCTTGACAATAGTTCCGGTAGAATCTATCAGTAAGTTTTAGGGCTTTAAGTCCCTGTGAAAAATCCTGTGAGAGTGTAAGTAAACGAGAGCTTATAATATTTGATATAAGAGACTTTAAACTTGCTGAGTTGGAAGTTAAGTACCCTTTGCTTTCAAGTATTTTTTTAGATCAAATTCTAAATACTCAAAGACCAAATAAAGTGATTTCTCTGAATAAAGTACCTCCTTTAATCTAAAAATTAGTTATTCCTTGTATATTGACTTACTCTACTACATTAGGGTGTTTTAGACTTTTTAGAAGAGAGATTTCTCTAATAGCTGTGCTTGGTACTCCATCATCCTCCTTTTCGAGTCTGATTTTTTTAAGAGCCACCGTTTCACCAGTGATCTTATCAACTGCTTTATAAACGACTCCATATGTTCCCTCTCCTAGCTTCTCTAATTTTCTGTATTTATCGATCTGAGAAGCAGGTTTTGTGAATGCTTTAGTATTTTATTGAATACTTGCAGGGTTTTAAAATCCCTGGGTATTAGTAGCATTCATATAATTCTGTTGCTGGTAGTGATTTGGGTCTAGGTTCTCCATGTTGTCTGCTGCAATTTAAGGATTGAGAGAGTTGATGCTTCTCAAAGACGATAAAATTCAAATTTAAATTATATTAAAGACTCATTATTTTATTTATAATTTATGTGTAAATTTTATAACTATTTTCAATTAACACTGTCTGCGAAAAGATTATTGAAATTAGAGATCTTCTCTCTTTCCTATTTTATTAGTTACCTGATATCATTCTCTACAGCTTGCACTTTATAAGATTCGTTGGACTAGTTCTTTTTTATTAGTTTCTCAGCATTTATAAAAAGCTACGACACTCTATCTCTTCTATTATTCTACTAGTTATTCAATGGCAAAGCATTGTATATAATAGCCAGAAGATATGAAATTTCACGAATATCAGTTAATTTGTGAAGCTAGATGGCAAGTTGCAGAGCTTAGCGTAGGTATCTTGAGGCTTAGGAAAATAGTGATTACTGATAAGTCCTCTTTATCTCTTGGAATTCACTGTCATTATTAAAAGTAATTTCATCCTCAATTTTTGATTCCTCTTAAATTTCTTCTTGATTATGATTATTGTCCTTCTCTAAATTTATAGATCCTATTTTCAAATGAATATGAGCTAGCAATTTTATAGCTTCTAACTACATGGCTTTCGTTCCATTTTCGACTACAGATGGCATCAAGCTGTTAAGCTCAGTTAAACTTTCCATTAAGAACGATGGGATATTGCTTTTTATTTCACAAACTTTTATCTATGTCATCAGTCTTAATCTTCCAAAATTACCTTCATTATTTTCATCTAGAGAGGCTATAGTTTTAGTGACTAAAATCATGGCATTGCTAACGTCACCTAGATTTATATAGACTTAGCAATGCAGTAATTCTACTTCTAGTTTCAACTGATTAAGACCGTATTAAGTGGAAAATTTTAGGAAGCTCATGATATTTTAATGAGCTTAGTGATAATCTTGCAATGCTATTAGTCTTTAAATCTTAAGCATCCAAATTATGGCTACTTCTGCATTTGATCTTGATAACTTGACATAATTTTGAAGTTGATCTTCTATTTACTCAGCATCAATGAATTCACTTCTATTAACCTAAAACTAATGCACAGCAGTTAAAAATGCAAAGTAATAATCAACTGTCATTATGTTATCTCCATATCTCATGAGTAATTCAATAAGTTCAATGCTCTATTAAACAGATTGATTTTTAAGTGTTAAAATCTGTTGATACATATGATTGATAACCGCTTTCTAAGAAAGTGCTTTAGAACCAAACTACTTGATTATATTTATCAAGTTGAGTTTCTTAAGAATCTGAGATCCAACTTAGTCCCATATTTAAGATCTTGCCATTATTAGTAAAGGTTTTAGTTCTTTTATGAAATCTCTAGTAGTGACTTGTTCTTATAACACTGTCAATCTTTTATTTGCTATTTATAGCACATCATACCAGATTGGACCCTCAACTGATACCTTAATTGATTTGAATACATCAGTCAACTTTTAACCTATCCTCATTGATGATCTCATAGTCTTCGCAAAATCTATCTAGGAATAGTTGATACAAGACAAGATGAAAAGATAGCTATTACTAAGATGATTCGCTTGATAAATAATATGTTCCAGTAATTATCTTTCCTGATCAACGCTACCAACTTGTCTAAGGATCTGATGCAGCCAAATTAAGCATTGTAAAATAGCCTCATGATCATTTTTATTTTGTGATATTCTAATAGTCTCTAGAACGGATAGCAGTGCCTAATCATACATACCTAGCCTTAGTTAGAGTCCTGATATATTAAGTTCTGGCTGATGCACCTTAACTGAGTGAGTTGGTTTAGATGATGTCCTATCAATGAAATTGAGATTGTAATCAAAGTATTTATGAAGTGAAAACACTGATTCTATATCTTTTTTTGCCATTGACTCATTAATACTATTCAGAAGTTCCTTCTAGTAAAACTTTTATGAATCAACTTTATCTAGCTCTCGCTTGATGGTTTGAAAATCTTTCTTTAAACTTTCATTTTCAATCTTAAATGCTTTATCTTCAGCCCAATAATCCAACTTTATCTTTGCATGCTGATATTTATACTCTTTGTTATCTCGGTACAGAATGAAGCTGTCAAATAGTCTATGAATATCCTCGAACATCAGAGTACTGAAACAAAATACACATCTCCTTATAAACAAATCTATAATAGAACCACACTCGAAATTAATCATCTGCCCATTCTACAATTGCATATTCGATTATCGCATTCTCTCTTCTCGGAGTGTTTTATCAAAGAATTGATAAAGATCATCCAAAGTCTAAATACGGGAGAGACTATCTTGGAGTAACTATGCTATTTCATAATCTGCTGCTTAATTTACCTAATGACCTTTAGCAATTATCTTGATCAGGTCCATCTTCAACTTACTCAGTGTCTTTTCTTTTACACCGTTTTCAGCCTATGATCATATACTTTAGAGGTTGAATTCTTACCTTTAGTTGTTTGCTAATATATTTAATCAGAGCATCTTATTTTTATACACTTAATATTGGAGACTAAAACACTTCATATAGCAAGAAGCAAAGTGATATTTTGTGAGGACTTAGGGTGAAACTGTGATTGAAGCGCGACATTTTTTCTAATCGTAATTTAAAATTTGTATATTCAATTTAAATTCCCTATAATTTTGATTTATCCAGACTGACGGGGTTTTGGGGTTTTGGGGTTTTGGGGTTTTGGGG